CAGTCTTCATAATTTGAATGAATGAGAAATCGATTTATTTAAGTTTTTTATTAGAATTTAAGGGAAAGCAAATTGAAGTTTTGGCGCTATAAACTCGTGAGCCACTTCTTCATGTTGAAACTAATCTAGGGAAAACTCACTAAGGCGCATAAAAACATAAGACAAAAAAAGGAAGATTAAGTACTCGAGCTACTATTCTGTAGCCTGGCTTATTAAAACATTGTCTAAATCTAAAGGAACAACAACCCCTGATACATTAAAACCCCCGTAACAAAAGACGCTTGTTATAGGCATGTATGCCTCCATACACACACGTTATGGTCTCGGTTCAATACCTTTAATCGCACTGCATGTACTTATGTCTAAGTGTATAGGGGATATATACACATAGTCATACATATACATAAGCACTTGGTACAGCAGCAAAAGCGATATTCGTAGTACCTATCGTCATCGTGTGGTAGGAACCCTCTCGAAAAGAAAATCCCCACAATTCATATGTACAGTTCTGACAGTACGACATGGCAGCGTTTACCTGGAAGTGCGTTACTAATACTCTGTTATACCTAACGGTTGCTACTAGACCTTCTACTGGTTGTTCCTTAACTTTAACTCGAATTTCTTAATTTATCTATCTCTAAATTCAATTGGTTAGATTTGAATCTTATGCTTACGGTAGGAAAAGACAATACGAACGAAGTACTTATATTGTCTGGCTTCGTGATCTGAGATTGTAAAAATTATCTTATCAGAAGCGGACTTAACAACAATAATATACATACGTAGAAGCAATATCTTCAAAATAAAAATTAAAAATTGTAACGGCGACGAAGAAATTTTTCCTTTCTGACTCGAATATAATTGGTTGCATTTAGAATATAACGTATACATATTGATAGTAATATCTGCTTAATTGTTCCAACTTCCTTGTTACCTACATGCGTTCGTGGAACTGCAACTACAGGACATCAAGTAGCCTTACTGCCTTCTTACGATGGTACATTTGGTAAAGATCGTCATGTCGTAATTCAGTTACTATACATTCCTACACAGCTACGCGTAACATGAATGCGTCGAATGAACGGTGTGGGTGTGCTAATTATCTTGCCGCGATGAAGCTCATGAGTTATTCAATTGTCTCGCCCAAGAGCTAAATCTTTACCGAGGCATCCGCGTCAACTAACATCCTCAAAGGGAAGAACACTAATTGCAAAAATAAAGTGCTCGAAATTCGACGTACAAAATTTCACGGATAGAACGCGAATTATTTTTGTGCTTAAAGTTACTTCACTCATCTCATGACCCTCGATTTCAATTAAGGATGTTTGGGAAGTATGTCAAAATGCTACGAGACGAATAAAAATTTGGAAGAACGTTCCTCATTCAATTCTAAAACTCCTGTAAAAATTACAAAACGATTCATTAAACCGTTAAAAAGTTATTGAAATTTTAAAAAATTGTAATTTTACACGTCATTTTATGGAGATTCGTTAACATAACAGATTAAATTTATTTTTATTAACAGAAAAAAAGCTACCAGAAATTTCAAACTTTTATAATAAGTAACTTGAACTCTGGAGAATCACTTTAGCGTAAGGTTATTCAAATTCACTAAATGGTTATCGAGGAAAAA